CAGAAATTAAAGACAACAAAAATAAATGGATAGATAGTCCATGTTCATGAATTAGAAAATTTAGTATTGTTACGATTCTGCTTTAGTTTCTTGTCATAGTGCAGTTACAAAATACCTCACAAAAGGAACACAATAAAGGTTTTATTTTTAGCTCATGATTTCAGGATATGATCTATAATGGTGGAGAACATAATGTTGAGAGGGGCTCCAGCTATAGTAATTTCTAGCACTGGGAAGGGAGGAGCAGAAGGGTCAAGAGTTCAAGGTCCTTCTCTATTACATAGTAAGTTCAAAGCCAGCCCACACTACATGAGACCCTGTGTCAATCAACAAGAAAAATACATACTTTATAAAGTCTCTGATGAGGAATTTGGTTATAGAATAAATAAAGATCTCTTAAAACCTCAAAGTACACAACCTAATTAAAAATGTAGCAATGACTGCATTGTTCAAAGCCCAAAGTGGGAACAACTTAAGTGTCTATTAATGAGGACTAGAGAATAAATGTGGAATAGCCACACAGTGGAATGCCATTCATAAATAAAAAAGAATAAAACTATGAGTGTATGTTACATCGTGAATGAATTTTTAAATAATCATGCTAAATGAAATAAAGGCAAAAAGAATACATAATGTGTGGTTTATTTATATGAAAAGGCAAATCTATAAATAGGCAGAGGTTAGCAGTTGCTTGCAGCTGAGGGTAAGAATAGGGATGGTCTGTAAGTGGGCAGCCTGGGAACTGATGTAAATATTCCAATACTGGATCACTGCAATGGCTGAACAACTCTATAATTTATTAAAAATCACTAAGACAGACAGTGGACTTAAAAGAAGTGGAATTTATGCTGTGTATATTGTATCTAAGTAAAGCATAAAAGAAACCCAAGGACATGAGAATATGAGCATTATCTGAAAAGGGGGTGAACAAAAATAGCCCCAAAGAGGAAAGGAGGCCAGAAAAACTGAGGATGTTGCAGTCTGAAGACTAGGGATGGGCTTATCATCCTTCAAATCCCTATCAAGCATTGATCTTTCATATCAGCTTGAAACCAATGCATTTTCAGGCACAGCTCTAGACCCAGGAAACCACTCCCTGAAGACCTCAAACAGCTTGGTTTTCACTTCTATACACATTATTTTAAACATGACAATGTTTTCATGTTCAGAGCATGGCATTTAGTCTGTACTGGATTCACATAGCTTTACACCTCACTACCTATGACTATGGTGGTTGTAGGGCTATGGTGGTTGTAGTGGGGGGGGGGGAGTTCCTGTGTGTTTAACCTTTCCAAAGTGATCACATACCAATAATTCTATCAGTTTCTCTCTTGTATCATCTGATGTCATATGATTACAGAACCCAATCACAGACGGGATAATTGAGAAAACTCTTAAAATTCTATTGGTTAATATCCACTTATGAGTGAGTATATACCATGTGTGTCTTTCTGATTCTGGGATACCTTACTCAAGATGACCTTTTCTAGTTCCCACTATTTGCCTGTAAATTTCACGATTTGCTTAATAGCTGAGTAGTATTCCGTTGTGTAAATATACCACAATTTCTGTATCCATTCCTCCATTGGGGGACATCTGGGTTGTTTCCAGGTTCTGGCTATTATGAATAGAGCTCCTATGAGCATTGTTGAGCAAATGTTCTTGTTGTACAGATGAGCATATTTTGGATATATGCCTAGCGTATTAGCTATATAATACAGGATAAGCACAGTAAAATCTATACTCCTAAAGAAGCTAAACAACAAGGAAGACCCTAGGAAAGATGCTCAATCCTCATTCAGAAGGACAAATGTGATAGATATCAGAAGCAGGAGAAGACAGGGAACAGGGCAGGAGCCTAGCACATATGACCTCTGAAAGACTCTACTGATCAAGGTATTGAAGCAGAGGCTGAGACTCATAGCCAAACTTTGGGTAGTGTACAGAGGATCTTATCAAAGAAGAGGGAGATAGAAAAAAAAAAAACCTGAGCCCTGGGGGCCCTGAAGAGATTGATACCCCAACCAAGGACCATGCACAGAGAGGACCTAAAACCCTGGCTCAGACATAGCCCATAGACTCAGTCTCCAAATGGGTTCCCTAGTAAGGGGAACAGGAACTGTCTCTGGCATGAACTCGGTGGCAGGCTCTCCGAGCACTGCCCCCTGGTGGTGCAGTGTTGTCAGGCCACAGGGGAAGATAATGCAATCAGTCCTGATGAGATCTGATAGGCTAAAGTCAGATAGAAGGGGAGGAGTTCCTCCTCTATTAGTGGACTAGGGGAGGGGCACAGGGGGAGAAGAGGGAGGGAGGATGGGATTGGGAGGTGATGAGGGAGCGGTCCACAGCCTGAATACAAATTGAATAAATTGTAATAAATGATAATAATAATAATTTTAAAAAATTATATTGGTTAATTTACTTTGACATTCTGTTTTAATGTTTAATCACCATTAGCTGCAAGCTGTCCATTTTGGTGATGCAGCCCACTCTTATTTACCTTATTTCCATCCCGGGTGGAGTGGGGAATTCACTCTTTTTTTATTGTCAGAAGGGATAACAGGGAAGGATGGACATGGATACAAGGACTCCCACCTTTATTTCCCTAAGTCTTTCCTAGTTGATGCTATTTTGTTTCCTTCAAGTTACCACCAGGCATTTTCTAATTCTCCTGAATGGTCTGATACTTTACAGTTTCTCAATCATTAGAATGCTGGACACTGAATTCTAATGAAATGCCAACTGTAGCAGAGGTGGTTGTTGCTAAATTCTCTAGAATAAGTCATCCACAAGCAGACAAACCATACTGGAAGAATGAAGCTAAGTTATACTTAGAATTACTACAAATGTTGAGAGAATTCCTGGATGATTAGGAGGATACCCCAGAAAGGCATTTGTATTTCCGTTTCTTTTCTGAAGAGGAACTCCAAAACACTCTCATGTCTTTTTTTCTAAAAACACTTGTTTGCAAATCCATGTTCCAACACACTTTGCTTCTAAAATGTCATCCTTTGGTAGGGAAGGAAGGTTTATCTCATGTGGGAATCTCTGTGGGAGTCCTGAGTTTCTCAGCTGCTCAGTGGGACCCTTTGAAGAGTAGTCACACAAAGCTCCTAGTCTCCTACTCTGCCCCGCTGAGAACCTCATCTCCTGTGCCCTTTCCACAGTGTCCCTAGAGGAACTCCAAGTGGAATAGGAAGTGGTACAAGCCTTTTCCTTCTAGAAGGGCTGATAGAAAAGAAGCTGTGATTTATGAGTCTAACTACAATGTCTCAAAACACAATGCCAGAGGGCAGTGGGAAGTAGCTTGGAGTACATTCAACAGGTAGGGCCAAGAAATGGCTCATCAGTTAGGAGCAGTGATTGCTTTTCAGAGGACCAGGCTTTGAGTCCCAGCACCTACCTGGCAACTTAAAATCTTGTGTAATTCCAGTTCTAATGGATTCAATGCCCTGTTCTGGACTCCAAGGACAATGTATGCAGATGGTACACAGATAGAAATGTAGTCAAAACAACCATACACATAAAGTATATATTTTTTCAAGACAGGGTTTCTCAATGTAGCAGTGACCATCCTGGAGATCGCTCTGTAGACCAGGCTGGCCTCAACTCAGAGATTTGTCTGTCTCTGCCTCCTAAACTCTGGGATTAAAGGTATGCATCACTGGTTTCTGCAGGTTCCCCCTGGGCCCAGATTTTTTGGTTCGGTTGCTCTCCTTGTGGAGCTCCTGTCCTCTCCATGTCTTTCTATCTCCCCCTTCTTTCATAAGATTCCCTGCACTGTGCCCAAGGTTTGACTATGATTCTCAGCATCTGCTTCAATACCCTGCTGGTAGAGTCTTTCAGAGGCCCTCTGTGGTACATTTCCTAGTAGGGGGAACAGGGGCAGTCTCTGACATGGACTCAGTGGCCAGCTATTTGATCACTTGACCCCAGCAAGGTGGCCTTAGTAGGCCACAGAGAAACAGGATCCAGGCAGTCCTGATGATACCTGATAGGTCAGATAGTAGGGGAGGAGGACCTCCCCTATCAGTGGACTAGGGGAGGGGCATAGGGGAAGAAGAGGGACAGAAGTTGGGACTAGGAGATGAGGGAGGGGGTTACAGCTAGGATACAAAGTGAATAAATTGTAATTTTAAAAAGGTGTACATCATCACCACTTGGATGATTTTTTTTTCTAATATAGGGTAATTTTGGGATTGTCTGAGGAAGTGATCTGTTGAAATGTTTTTAGGGTGACAGTTTCATTAGCTTGTTCAAAGCAACATGGTGATGAAAGGATGGAAGTACAGGAACTTGTTTGATGCCAATCTGGAGACTTCAATATTTAAGAAAGAAACAGAAACAGAAGGAAATGGAATTCCATCCCACTTCTATTTGTGTTAGAGAATATCAGTCTTGGCCCCCATATGAACTGGGGTACAAGTGCACATTTCTCCATTAGCAGGAAAACCTTGATGGGCAAGTATAGAAGGTTGTGATCCAGAAAATAAAAAAGACTTTTGTTGACTGCAGGACTGACCCAACTCACTACCAAGTTCAAAGCCCTAGTGAGTAATGAATATATATATATGTGTGTGTGTAATGAATATATATATACACCTGTCTGTCCTGACCTTTTGCCTCAATTTCTAAATGACTAAGTGGGTCCTACACTACCAATTGAGTTGTAGGACAAGTGACTTCTAGTTGTTTTCTCAGAATCTAAATAGACAGCCATAATTTTAAAAAATCACCTATACAGACTGGTGAGATGGCTCAGCCAGTAAAGGTACTTGCCACTACGCTTGCTGATCTGAGTTCAATCCCTGCTACTCACATGGTATAAAGAGAACACTGGCTCCAACATATACGCCGTGCATGCCCCACCCAACTGCTGCACACTGTTGAAATACATGGAAATGTTGTAAAAACCCTCTTTGCTACCCATCTGATTATCAGTCAAGCACTTTACTAACTTACATAAATATGGCTTTAAAATCTTAAAATGTGATACTTACTATGTTCTTCTGAGTAACCATATCCTGAAAGAAAAAAGAAAATATTAATATAATTTTTAAAGTCAATTCTCATAAGTGTTCCCCCATCTTAAAGGCTTAATCATTTGGTTTGCCCCCTGAAAGCTTTAAATACAATGAAATACAAACTGTAAAATTCAGATGCCAAGAAAAACTGATCATAATTGGTTCTGCAACTATTGGAGAAGGTTTATATTTATAAGAATATTTTCATTTATATTAGAGACTTATTTATTCATATATATTTTAAGATTTAACTTTGGGGTGCTCAATGTCCTGCTTCTTGCTGCACCAGAGAAAAGCATCAGGTATAGTAAGCAAAGCACTGGGCTATGCTTCAATTTGAAACTATTTCTTGAATGGACTAATATGAACGCTTCAGAATATGCCACTGTTAGCCTAAGAATAGTGTTGTTCAAAGTAGTCCTGACAACCCACTAGAGCTGTATAATGACAACAGTATTTGTGAACTTAGCATGATGGCTATTCAGCTTGATTGTAACATTTTTTTACACCGAAACCACACATTTCTTTGAAAGAATATACAATTAAATGGCTTCCATGTAAAACATGTATTATATATAGTGGCATTTCTATTTTCTCGTAAGAAGTACAGTCTCCTGTTTTGGTGTTAGGTATACCTAGTTAGTCATTTCCATTTTAGGAAATATTTGTACTATTAAAAAATTAAAAACTTTGCAACCCCTACAACCATAAAAAAATTAAAACTTATCTAGTTCCTAGGAATTTATTGAAGGTTTTGCTATGACACAGTCGAGGAAAAAGTATTATACAAGTGGGAATATACATTCTAACTTCATGTTGCTCAAAATATGAATATAAATTTTTATATTTATAGGGAGGGAGGGTGAGAAATGGAGGGAATGAGGGAGGGGGCTACAGCTGGGATACAAAGAGAATAAGCTAATTTATAAAAAAATAAATTTTAAAATGCTAAAAATTTCACACTTATAATGTTTCTAAGCACAACTAATTTAGTAAATAGAAATTAGTATATACAAATCTAAAATAATCTAGATTGGTTTAAAGACTTTAGAAACTATTCTATAACATCACTTATACTGACAAAAGTTTCCTTTCTCAATCACATGGATGATTACTATACAGTACAGTCCTGAGCACTAATTATATAGTACCCATTTATGCAAAGTGTGCATAAAATTCACTATATATAGTTTAAACACCTAACATTTCTTGCAGGAAATAATCTCTAATTATTACAGAAACCATAAAATTCTGGTTTACTATTAAATCTCAAAAAACATAAACATCTGACTTTGGTATCAAATTGTACTGCTATATAATCATGATTTTTTTTAAATTTATTTTTTTATAAATTACAGTTTATTCACTTTGTATCCCAGTGGTAGCCCCTCCCTCATCAGCTCCAAATCCCATCCTCCCTTCCTCATCTCTTCCCATGCTTCTCTACAAGTCCACTGATAGGGGAGGTCTTCCTTTCCTCTGACCCTAGTCTATCAGGTCTCATCAGGACTGCCTGTATTGTCTTCCTCTGTGGACTGGTAGGGGTGCTCCCCTCTCAAGGGGGAGGTGATCAAAGAGCCAGCCACTGAGTTCATGTCAGAGACAGTCCCTGTTCCCATTACTAGGAAAACCCACTTGGAGAGTGAGCTGCCATGGGGTACATCTGTGCAGGGGTTCTAGGTTATATCCATAAATGATCCTTGGTTGGAATATCAGTCTCAGAAAAGACCCCTAGGCCCAGATTTTTTGGTTCTATTGCTCTCCTTGTAGAACTCCTGTCCCCTCCAGGTCTTTTATCTCCCCCTTCTTTCATAAGATTCCCTGCACTCTGCCCAAAGTTTGGCCATGAGTCTCAGCATCTGCTTTGATACACTGCTGGGTAGAGTCTTTCAGAGGCCCTCTGTGGTAGGCTCCTCTCCTGTTCCCTGTTTTCTCCCTCTTCTGATGTCCATCTCATTTGCCTTTCTGAGTGAGGACTGATCATCTTACCCAGGGTCCTCCTTTTTGCTTAGCTTCTTTATGAGTACATATTTTAGTATGTTTATCCTATATTATGTGTCTAATACCCACTTATAAGTGAGTAGATACCATGTCTGTCTTTCTGCTTCTGGGATACCTCACTCAGGATGATCTTTTCTAGATCCCACCATTTGCCTGAAAATTTCATGATTTCCTTGTTTTTAATTGCCGAGTAGCATTCCATTGTGTAAATGTACCACAATTTTTATATCCATTCTTCAATCGAGGGACATCTGGGTTGTTTCCAGATTCTGACTATTATGAATAAAGCTGCTACAAACATGGTAGAACAAATGTCCTTAGTGTACACTTGAGCATATTTTGGATATACACATAGGAGTGGTATAGCCGGATCCTGAAGTAGCCCTAGTTCTAATTTTCTGAGAAAGTACCAGATTGATTTCCAAAGTGTTTGTACAATTTTACATTCCCACCAGCAATGGAGGAGGGTCCTCCTTTTTCCCCATCCTCTCCAGCATGTGTTGTCACTTGAATTTTTTATCTTAGCCACTCTGACGGGTGTAAGGTGAAATCTCAGGGATGTTTTGATATGCATTTCCCTGATAACTAAGGACATTGAACATTTCTTTAATTATTTCTCTGCCATTCAATATTCCTCTATTGAGAATTCTCAGGAGAAAACAGGGAACAGGACAGGGGCCTATCACAAGCCTCGGAAACGCTCTACCCAGAAGGGTATTAAAGCAGATGTTAAGACTAATAGCCTAACTTTGGGCAGAGTGCAGGGAATCTTATCAAAGAAGTGGGAGACAGAAAAGCCTGAAGGGCGACAGAAGTTCCACAAGGAGAGCAACAGAGCCGAAAAAAAAAATCTGGGCACAAGGGTCTTTTCTGAGACTGATATTCCAAACATGGACCACGCCTGGAGATAACCTAGAACCCCTGCAGAGATGTAGCCCATGGCAGCTCAGTGTCCAAGTGAGTTCCCTAGTAAGGGGAACAGGGGCTGTCTCTTGACATGAACTCAGTGGCTGGCTCTTTGATCACCTCCCCCTGAGGAGGAAGCAGCCTTACCAGGCCACAGAGCCAGTCCTGATGAGACCTAATAGGCTAGGGTCAGATGGAAGGGGAGGAAGACCTCCTCCATCAGTGGACTGGGGGAGGGGCATGGTAGCAGGGGAGGTAGGGAGGTAGGACATGATTGGGAGGGGAGGAGGGAGGGTTCTACAGCTGGGATACAAAATAAATAAATTGTATTAATTAATTAAAAAATAAAAGACAAAGTTTAGAATTGTTCCCATAAGAAATTTACATTTTATTAATATGAACATTTTAAACGTACTATGCTATTCAAGAAAGCCTGCATAAAGCTCAAAAACCACATTTTTAAAATTCTCAATAATTACTAAGTTGTACAGGAACATACAGGTTTCCACAGTTTAGCTTTTCTTTTAGATTAAAGGAAAATGAAATACTGGTTATGTTTATGCTATTTTTTTTTTTTTTTTTTTTTTTGCTCATCTTGATAACTGTTAGGGGTCTTCATATGATTTCTTAAGCAAATTGAGAACAAGTTTTTATAACATGTTGGGCTGGTTCAAACTGCCCATGAGAGGACACCAAGCCATGTGTTTGCTCAATGGAAACGAACAGATTTTGTTTCTGCTTCCTTAACCCAGAAGTTGTTAGTGCCTCCAAAAGCTTAGTATAGCAAGGATGCTTACACAGCCTTCAATGAGTCATCTGTGGAGGCTAGCAAATATGGTGGGAAGGAGTAAATCCTACAAGTAATTCTTTGGTGCATTTTCTAACCTCCAATGCTGTAAGTTATATTTCAACTGGACATACTATGGTTTTTTTTTTTTAATTAAATAGCCAAAGAAAGGTAAACAATGCTCCTTACCTTCAATGACAGAGCAGTGTCTACATCAGTATCGTAGTACAGAATTACATTATTAGCCATGTCAAAACTCTCTCGGACTCCAAGATGATAGAAAAGGGAAGGCTGTCTGGAGATATCACTCATGTCCACAATGGCAACATCTGAGAAGAACAAGGACGCAAGAGTTGAGGCAGAGCTGAGGTGATCTATGTACTTAATTCTTGCTGGTGATCATTAATGATTATTACAGTAATTTGTATTTCTACTATCAGCTTTTTACATAAAACAGAATTGGGGAATTATTTATTAGGATTACCTTCCATTAGCTGTAAAAGAAAAACAGTAAGAAATCAAAAAATAATGAAGAGACATAATATATGCATGTATGACTACGTATGTGTGGGAGTATATATGTGTGAAACAGGGTCTCATTATGCTGCCCTTGGATGGATAGTCTGGAACTCACAGAGGTGAACTTGCCTCTGCCTCCTAAGAGCTGGAATTAAAGGCATGTGACACTATACCTGTCTTGTTATCTATTTTAAGTGCTGGGAACATACTCTCACTTAGAATTTGCCGACAGATTCAGTTTCTGTGGTGGTTCTTCTTCTGAAATAGATATACAAAGACTACACATGAATGAAAGGTACCTATTAATGAAAGGTAATGGAGCAAACCCCATGTGCTCAGCATTCCAGCAGTAGGCACACAGCCAAATATCTCTCTGTTCTGCCAGGGAAAATGTCCCTCATCTGTGTACCACTTCCCTGCATAGATATGTGCACACTATAAGCCGAATGCTCATATGCCCACAAAATTCATATATTGTAATGTGACAGCATTACAGATGGTGCCTTTGGCAGGTCATGAGGGCTGAAAATGCAAGAATAAAATCAGTAACCTCTTCTAGGAGGCTCCACAGAGTTGAGTTGTCCCTTTCTACCCCAAGGAGGATACTAGGACAAATGCAGACTGTTAACAGACCTGGAATTTGCTGGGGCCCAGCCTCTAGAATTAAGATATAAATCTGTTATTTGTATGCTAGCCAGGCTATGGTATTTGGTTCCAGCAGCCTGAAAAGACTGTAATACACAGTATATTGTTTGATTTAACGTGTCTTTGAACTTTATATCCGTTAATACTATTACAGTTGACACATTCTTTGATTTTCTACTGTTTGATGTGACTTGACCTATTTGTCTCAGTATAGTACTTACCTTTTAATTTCTGTGTAAAATTCTAATGCATGATGACTAAATCACAATTTCCTTACTCAGTCTACATATGGAAATTTTAGTCAGTTTTTTTTTTTCTCTTTCCTATTTCAAGCTGTTACAATTAGCATTCCTGTGTTGTGGCTTCTGGTTCACCCTAGCCATAAAAATGTTCCTTGAAGTTATGACCTGTAGTAGAGCTCTGTTCATAGTAGAGGAGCAACTAGTCGCATCAATTGCAGCACGTTTAAAAGTGCCTGGTATTGGGGGGGATCCAAGATGGTGGCGACCAACGTGTACTGTGTCTGAGAGTCAGAGGATCTGAAACTCTGAAATTGGTGAGTGGAGGGGCAGCTGAAGCCAGAAGATCAACATTGAGGCTTCCTGGACAAGAGGGGACAACACGTGAGCTGAGGCCATTTAGATTCGGGTCACCCTCAGACTTCTCTGGCAATGGAGAGTGGCAAACATTTGGTCCCCCTGCACTTCCCCTTTTCGGACCTCCCTCCTCCCCCTCAGTGGAGGTGGCCCACAGTGCCTGAGACTTTTAGCACAGAACTCACTGCCTGGTGACTGAGCCAGCAGAGGCGGGGCTCCAAGCTCCTTGGCAGCTGCTGCAAGCTGTACCAACCTTCAGGGTCCCAGGTCCACGGGACCAGCCTTCAGAGTTCAGGGTCCGTGGTACCAGCCTTCCGGGTTCTGGGTCCTTGAGCAGCTGTACAGGCCCTGCTGGGCCTCCCAGGCAATGACTGTACAGGTCACGCAGTCCCTCAGTGGTGGACAGCTGGCTGTACAGCCTGTGAAGTCTGCCAGACCTGTCAAGTCACCCAGATACACCAGGCCCACTGGGCCAACCAGGTCCGTGTACCACTGTAGTGGCTCTCCAGGACTTCCCAGCAGGCATCTGTACAGGCCTCCCAGTTCCGCTGCTATGGCTGCATTCCCAAGTTCTTCGCTGCAGCACCACTGAGCCGATGGAGCTCCTACACCCCCATATGCCCCAGCAGGCCCAAATCTGAGAGTAGAGAACAAGGGAAAACCCTGTGCTTTCCTGCTAGACCTCTAGAGAGTAGTGAGCCTTCAAGTACTTACAGAGGCTCAGATCCACAGTCCCTCTAAGCTGGCAGCCAGACATAAGAGCCCTCCTACCCACACACCCACTGTGGGAAACATAGGGATTCTTGGGACAGTGTTCTCAACATTGAGGCCCCTGTTCTGCAAGTCTACCAGTGGAGTCCAGGCAAACAACTCCTAGAGTCCAGACAGAGCTGAATACCAGTGGCCTGTAGTCCACTGAGGTATTCAGTGAATCTGTGCAAGTGAAGTGCATCTGCAAACACCACACGTGCCCATAAACACCACTCGTGCCCGGAACAACCCCAGTGCCTGCAACCCCTTCTGTGCCTGCACCGGCGCCTCTGCCCCACACTCCAGGCATCTACATTCTCTAGTACCCTGTCTTTCAAGACACACGTACACACACACACACACACACACACACACACACACACACACTCTTGCCCATGGGCATTCCTCCATTAGGGACAGCTGAAACACAAACACGCACAAACCAGTGAACCTCTCTCATCTTCCTGAAGAATACTCCAAATACCAAAGAAAGATGGTCCCAGTCTGAACTACAGAATCCAGGAACAAACAGTGAAGGTTACAGATAAATGTCCAGGGGTCAGCATAAGAACACATCCAAAAAAAAAAAAAAAAAAATCAGGACATCAATGGCTTCACCAGCAACCCCTAAAATCAATGGATACTCCAATTCATTGGAAACACAGGAAAATGATTTTAAAGCTATGATTAACCAGTTATAAGAGGCACATAAAGAGGAAAAGAACAAGTCTCTCAAAAAAATAGCCACACAAATGGAGACAAATAAAGAGGAAATGAACAAAGGTCTTAAAGAAATACATGCAAATATAGTCAAAGAGAGGCACAAGTAGAGGAACAGTTAGTAGCATATAGAGAGAAAACAAACATAATAATAGAGACCATCATAAAGAGACAAGAATCAACATTCAAACAGATGAAGGAAATGGTGCAAGGCATGAAAACAGAAATAGAATCAATAAAGAAAACACAAATAGAAAAAACCCTGGAGCTGGAGAATTTAGAGAAAAAAAAAAAAAACAAAAAACAAGAACCACTAAGGTAAGCATCACCCCTACAAAAGATGGAAGAGAGAATCTCTGGTGCTGAAGATACACTTACAGAAATTGACACTTCTCTCAAAGAAAAAGTAAAACTGGAAAATTTCCACACACAAAACATACAAGAAATCAAGGATGCCATGAAAAGACGAAATCTAAGAATAATAGGAATTGATGAAAAAGAAGATTCCAGGCTCCAAGGTCCAGAAAATATTTTCAAGAAAATCATAGAAGAAAATGTTCCTGACTTAAATAAAGAGATGTCCTTAAGCATACAAGAGGCCTACAGAATTCCAAATAGAACAGACCAGAAAAGAAACTCCTTACATCACATCATAGTCAAAACATTAAATCTGCAGAACAAAGAAAAAATATTAAAAGCAGCAAGGGAAAAAGGCCAAGTAACATAAAGATAGACCTATCAGAATCACACCAGACTTCTCATCAGAAATTATGAAAACCAGACGGGCCTGGGCAGATGTCATGTAGATTTTAAGGGACCACAGATGCCAACCCAGACTACTATACCCAGCAAAGCTTCAATCAACATAGATGGAGAAAACAAAATATTCCATGACAAAACTAAATTTAAGCAATATCTACACAACAACCAGCCCTACAGAAGATGCTAGAAGGAAAATTCCAATCAAACGAAAACAACTGCATCCAAGAAAACATAGAATACAGATGACTTCACAACAAAAATGAAAAGAAAACAAGCAATGAATCAGAATAACACCACCAACTCCACAATAAAAGGAACTAACATTCATTGGTTACTATTATCTATCAACATCAATGGAATCAACTGTCCAATAAAAAGACACAGACTAACAGAATGGTTGCAGAAACAGGACCCAACATTCTGCTGCATCCAAGAAACACACCTCTGCAACAAAGATAAACACTACCTCAGAGTAAAGGGCTGGAAAATGTCTTTCAAGCAAATAGACCCAGAAAACAAGCTGGGGTAACTATCCTAATATCTAATAAAATGGAATTGCAACCAAAATTAATCAAAAAAGATGAGGAGGGGCACTTCATTCTCAACAAAGGAAAAATCCCCCAGGAGGACATCACAATTCTGAACATCTATGCCCCAAATACAAGAGCACCTACATTGTAAATAAAACATTATTAAATCCATTCAATGGAAAAAAGACAGCATCTTCAACAAATGGTGCTGGTCCAACTGGATGTTTACATGCAGAAAAATGAATAGATCCATATTTATCACCCTGCATGAAACTAAAGTCCAAGTGGATCAAAGACCTCAACCTAAAAACAGAGACACTAAATCGATTAGAAGAAAAAGTGGGGAAGAGCCTAGAACTCACTGGCACAGGAGACAACTTTCTGAACAGAACACCAACAGCACAGGCTCTAAGATCAACAATCAGTAAATGGGACCTCATGAAACGGAAAAGCTTCTGTAAAGCAAAAGACACTGTCGTCAGAACAAAGCAACAGCCTACAAACTGGGAAAGGAGCTAAACAGAGAATCCTCTGTAGAGGAACATATAATGGCAGAGAATCACTTAAAGAAATGCTCAATGTCCTTAGCCATTAGGGAGACACAAATCAAAACGACCCTGAGATTTCACCTTACACCCATCAGAATGACTAAGATCAAAAACTCAAGTGACAACACATGCTGGAGAGGTTGTGGAGAAAGGGGAACCCTCCTCCATTGCTGGTGGGAATGTAAACTGTTACAACCACTCTAGAAATCAGTCTGGCACTTTCTCAGACAATTAGGAATAGTGCTTCCTCAAGATCCAG